TTTTTTTTTTTTTAAAATAAAGCATGGTTTACTTCAAATGTAAAACAATTTTGGGGTGTCTGGGTGGCTCAGTCAGTTGGGAGTCTGACTTCGGCTCGGGTCATGATCTCACAGTTCGTGGGTTCGAGCCCTACATTGGGCTCTGTGCTGACAGCTCAGAGCCTGGAGCCTGCTTTGGTTTCTGTGTCTCCCTCTCTCTCTGCCCCTCCCCTGCTCATGCTCTGTCTCTCTCTCTCTTAAAAATAAAATAAACATTAAAAAAAAGAAATTTTTTTTTTAATGTAAAACAACTTAGCATAAAACAAATTCATAGTTCAGCATAGAGTGCCCTGTGATTGAAAATTTTGCTCCTTTATAATGAAGCACAGGTAAGATAAACCCTGTTTTGGTTTACAGTCTGTACTCAAGCCAGTAACTCCTAAATTGAAATTATACATGTGAATTAAAGTGGCTGTTTGGCCGACAGTGGAGGGGAAGATCTGCTTTGGACCTATTTGAGTTTGTTACCTTGGAGCAACTGTGTGCGGCTGGCCTAACCTAGCTTCTTACCTAGCAGAAGCTATGGGCAGATTTTTAAATTGATTATTTGAGACATGTATATCCATAGTACAGCTGACTCTCAAATAACATGGGTTTTAACTCCATAGGTCCACTTATACATGGATTTTTTTGATAAATATGAAACACTACTGTGAATGTATTTTCTCTACCTTATGATTTTCTTAATAACATTTTCTTTTCTCTAGCTTACTTTATTAAGTAAGATTACAATGTGTAATACACATAACATACAAAATGTGTATTAATCAACTGCTTATATTATCAGTAAGCTTCCAGTCCACAGTAGGCAATTCGTAGTTAATTTTGGGGGGAGTCAAAAGTTATACCCAGATTTTTTACTGTGCCAGGAGGTTGGTGCCCCTAAACCCCCTGCATTGTTCAAGGGTCAACCGTAGTGCCTCTCAACCCCATCATATTGTTAATCGTCCTGGCCTAGAAAAAATTTTTTGCCAGCTAATCTTCATCTTTTCTTGATTCTGAAATCAAATGAAACATATTTTACTTTGTTCTTGCCTACTCCAACGTAAAAGCTTCAACTCTTAGATATATCCCTCTAGTCTTTAATATGTATGTGGTTATATTCACATGTTTGGTAACCATATTATAGATATGATTGTGTTCCCCTTAACATTATATCATAAACATCTTTATGTATCATTTAAAAAATCTTTGTAATAAATTTCAGTGACTAATATTTCATTACACTGGATATTTATACTGTATTTCTGTTGTTAAAATGTTGAGTGAGTATCTTTGTTTACAAAACTTTGTCATCATTTTAGTTTTCTTAATACAAATTCAAACAAGGGAAATTACTGACCGTAAGAGGATATGAACATTTAAGACTATGCTGATTGTTATAATGCCTTGTACAGAGTTCTGATTTAGAGTCCAACCAGAGCTGTAGTATGTTAACATGTAATGATTTGGTCTTCTGAGTTGTAGAGGTACAGCTCTTCTAGCGGACCCAGTGGATGTGAGATCCCAGACACCGTATATTTTATAGTGACCTTCTAGTGAAAAAAATCAGTAGATGTATCTAATTTATTACTTCTAAAATCTTTTATTGAACTTGTGGACAGTTGTTTTAGCACTCGCAGTATCGTGTGATAGTTTTGGAAACCTTAGCTCTAAAAGAAGGGTATTTTCACCATTAACTACTAGATGTGCTTAATAAATACGTGACTTTCTTTGGGGAACGTTCCTTGAATTTCCAGACCCTACAACTGTGAGCCAGTAGGAAGCAGTGAGTTTTATTTAGGTTCAACATTTGAGTAACCATCATTTTTAACACCTGCGTCTAATATTAGGCAAAATGAAACAAACAGACGAATGTGTCTTTCCCTGCCTACATTATGAGCTAGACAGATGACAGAGTTGGGATTGCAGCTAGAATATAATCTCCTGCTTCTTGTATATGGAGTCCGAACTGTGCCAATGCTATCAGAAGCTTATCAGACAGACCCCTTCAAATGGGAAAAAATTCTCAACTTGTAAATTTGAGTGGCTGAGGTAGCCCAATATAGAGAAAAAGACAGGTGTTTTTGAAAATGAAGAAGTCTGCCTTGCCAAATATTTTCATTATTATTAATGAAAAGACATCAAAAGAAAAAAAAAAAAAAAAGTAGTTTCAGCTAGAGAGCCCTGTGGCTCAAAGGTCAGCCAGAGTAAACAAGAACTCCTATAAAAAGCCATTTACATTCCCTTCATACAAGATTTATTTATGAGGGATCCTTCCAGGAAAGAGTCTGACTGAGACTAAAGACTGTTTGGCCAGGATGTCCTGACTGAGCAACATTCAGAACATGTGATCATTGCATGATCCTAGAAGCCATTCACAAGGTCTTTGCTCTGGAGTGCCTTGGCCTTTGCTTCCCTTCCTCCTACCCCATGACATTTACCAAATAGACCCCCCCATTATCTGATCACTTGGGGTGACCCTTTGGAAAATATGAGAAAAAGTGAGTGTAGCACCAAGTTTTCTTGGTGAGAGTGTTGTAGACTTCCAGTGTTGTCTTTCATTCTGGTTCTTTTTTCATTCAGCGAGTCTTCACTGCAGTCAGTCAGACTACATACCCAGCACTGTTTGGGTATTCTGGTGCAGAGTAGCCTCAGTGGGTCATTAAATGAGAATAAGAGTGAGACCTGAGCATATCTTTGCTACATGATTTCATAGGGTCCTTCACAGACCACCCAAAAGCCTGGTCTCAAAGGCATGTTCCAACAACAGAAACCCTGAGTTGAAATTCTTTTTCAGCCCCCTAGAGGGCACCCAAACCATCATGATGCTTCAGGGATTCTGTTTTCTTCTGTTTAGTCAGAGTCCCCAAAACGTTAATTCACATTATCAATACTAGATTTGTTAAGTTGAAAAGAACTTCTCAGCAGTTTGATTTAGGTGTTTTTGTTTATAAATGATCCAATACTGTTATCCAGAATGAACAATAATTTAACAACCCAAGGTTTCCATAATCCTTATTTTTCCATTACTGTGTGATAAAATGATATTGAATACAGCCAAAAAGTTACCATCTGCCTTATCATTAAAAGGCATCTTCTGTTTTCTTTTTTTGAGGTGTCTTTTCCATATATAGTTAATATCCCCCCAAAAAGTGTCTTCTAGCATTATATTTCTAAGTTTTGCTGCTGACTTATTTTTACCTACATTTCCTTCACTTTTTCTATACATGGTCCTTGTTTATAAATCATTACCATATCTGGGGAATTATCTCTCTGGCTGTCCAGACTATGGAAATGACCCGTCTTTCTGTCTCTACCCTTTCTTTTTTCTTTTTTCTTTTCTTTTTTTTTTTTAATGTTTGTTTATTTTTGAGAGAGAGAGCAAGCAGGGGAGGGACAGAGAGAGGAGAGAGAGAATCCCAAGCAGGCTCCTTGCTGTCAGCACAGAGCCCAACATGGTGCTTGAGCTCATGAGCTGTGAGATCATGACCCCCTGAGCCAAAATCAAAAGTCAGGACGCTTAACTGACTAAGCCACCCAAGTACCCCTTTGCCTCTGCCCTTCCTTATATTGCAGTTCCCAATTGCTTTCTACCTCCCTCCCTGTCTCATCCCTCTTCCCCTGCTTGCTCCCCTTGCTCAGGGTCTGGACTTCTTTAGGAATAACCAAAAGAGTCCTAGCTGTTGGGTGCTTCTATCAGCTCTCACAAGGGTGTTGGAGAGAACCTTCTGACCCCTGCTTCTGTATCCACCAAAGCAGGAGAGAGAAGTATGTGGAAGAGCAGTCCTCTCAGGGCCAGAGGTGGGAAGGACTTTTCTGTAGAGATTAGTACAGCCCTGGAAAGCTCTATCAGTTTTTATTTGCAGCCTCATGGTTATTTTCCTGTGGGCTGTAAGGTGTCAAGCTTCCATTTGTATCATCTCATATCTGTAAGAAAATATGTTTGCAAACTAGCGTGTGCCTTTTAAGTTTTTGATTTGCCCTATATGTGTTAACTATAAAAGAGGACTTCTGGAGCACCTAGGTGCCTCAGTTGGTTAAGCATCCGACTTCAGCTCAGGTCATGATCTTGCAGGTTGTGGGTTCAGACTCCGTGTTGGGCTCTGTGCTGACAGCTCGGAGCCTAGAGCCTGCTTCAGATTCTGTGTCTCCCTCTGTCTCTGCCCCTCCCCCACGCTCACTTGCTCGCTCTCTTTCTCTCTCTCTCTCTCTCTGTTTCTCAAAAATAACATTAAAAAAATTTTAAAGAGGACTTTTGTAAATTAAATAAATAAAATTATGAAATAATTAACTTGATAACATAATTCAAGGATAAACTAGTAGAACATTAGTGAGAGTATAGAACTTTTGGAATCCTGCCTTATAACAGGCCTGCAGACATACTTTATTATTATGCCTGCCTCTAGGAACCTTGTATTTACCTAAATACAAATAGTGGACAGATTTCTACTAGGACCAGCACAGCTTAGTGATTAACAAGGAGGCTTATTTCAAAATAGTTCCTTCATTGATACTCATGTTTACTGTTGATATGTCATCACTTAGTCACTTCACCTATATTCAGAGCATCCTCATTTTATAGTCCAGGAAACAGACCTTCAGCAGTTAAATGACTTTACCAAGAAGAAGAGCCCTTGAGAACATCCTGGTATCACTGTTTGCTTTTTTTTTTTTTTTTTTTTTTTTTTTTTTTTCTTTTTTTTTTAACCAACAGAATAAAAATTCATTTTATGTTGGAATTTAGTACCTCTATGCCATATCTGAAATTTGAGTCATCTGCTCTTCAGACTGAGCCAGCCAGGCACCCCTATATTACAATATTTTTAATCTGTTCTGTTCCTTTATTTCTTTAATGTGGTCCGATCCACCAAACTGATTTCATGACCACTAATAGGTGTGACCTGCGATTTGAATAACACTTGGTATAAATGAATTTCTAGTTGCACTCTTCATTTTAGTCATGAAGAAAAGGGATTAGCAGCTTGATTTGAAGGACTGGAAAGTTCGCTTACCAGTATAATGCCGTCCTTTTCCCTCAGAAATTTTCTAGAAAATAACTTCGTATGGCAGGAACATGAAAATGCAAGATAATCTTAAAATATATGCAAGAATTGGGTTCAAACTGAGCCCCTAATTGTATGTGCCTACAGAGATAAATCTTGTAGTCCAAGCCTGCTCACTGTGATCTGGCACAGTCCTTGGTCCTAGAAGGTATTCAGTAAATATTTGTTGCGTGAGTGACAGTGGCACCTATTGGTTTATTTGTAATTCTGGGTTTCTTTAAAAGGATGAAGGAGGGGCACCTGGGTGGCTCAGTCGGTGAAGTGTCCGGCTTCGGCTCAGGTCATGATCTCATGGTCCGTGGGTTCGAACCCTGCATCGGACTCTGTGCTGACAGCTCAGAGCTTGGAGCCTGCTTCGGATTCTGTGCCTCCCTCTCTCTCTGACCCTCCCCCGTTCATGCTCTGTCTCTCTCTGTCTCAAAAATAAACACTTTGAAAAATAAAATAAAATAGAAGGATGAAGGATGTAAAGAAAAACTGAGGCAACTACATCTGATGATTTCTGTGTAAGGGCTATGTTGCCATTCATTGAAAAGTGCTTTAATTCTAGCCTGTCTTCATAGATCGATCATAAATTCAGCTTAATACAGAGAAGGCATGACCTGGGTCTTAGTCCTGACCTCAGGTCATTTTTCTGGGACTGACTTTATTCATCTGAAAGTGAGTGCTTTGGGAATTATAATCATTAGTTCCCAAATTACTGGAAGTCATGATTCTCTGGGGAAGCACCAGGGAATGTTGATTTATTTGTCCCCTCTGTATGAACTAGGAATGGTTTGACTTGTTTAAAACACGACTATTACATGACTACTTCCATGATAACTTGTATGTCTGTTATATTTGTTACATCTTTATAAGTATATTGCCTATCATTATTGGTGGGCAGCAGAAGTATATCTGCAGATTGGAAGATGACAACCTCGGTTTGATTTTTATGTTAGAGCACCTTGATACAATGTGTCAAAAAATGTGGGTCAGGCATCAGGCGTAGGTAACCCTTTCTAGCCCTAGATACTGGTCTGTATTCAGAAATCCCTGTCTTTTGTCACATGCCATTTTTCTTTTTCAGTTTTCCCTTTTAACCTGTCTTCTTCCCTTTTCTGCAGGAATGACATCTTTGTGTTCCTGCTGAGCACTCGAGCTGGAGGACTGGGTATCAATCTCACTGCTGCAGATACAGTAAGTAACGAGAGCACAATATATCAGACAGCAGGTCGTCTACTATAAATATGTTGTTCAGTTGGTGTTATTCTTTGCTTTGTGTCACACTTTCTCTTTGCCTCATTATGTTAAAAGACAGTTGCATTTTGCCTAGAACTAGGACATTTTAGCTTTCCTTCTGGACTTTTCTCTCCATTCTCTTAAATTTCTTACACATTCATTCAACAAATATTTAGTGAATGCCAACTATGTGTCCAATACTGTCCTAAACACTTAGAGTATATTAGTGAATAAACAGAGTAAAAAAAAAAAAAAAAAAATCTGTCAATCCAGCCAAATTGTTTTAGAAACTATAGCAGCAAATCAGAAATGATTGTTTTGTTACTCTTATGCATTGATTCCACCATGGGAAAAACTCATACTTTTGTATCCCAAACTTTAAAAGAGGGTTGGAAAGCAATGAAATTGGTAATTTAAAAAATAAAGACATTCTATCAAATTATCTATCCTTTCATATCCAGTCTCTTTGGAAGAATACTTCAGTGACTGAAAAGGAAAAAAGCATTGGGGCGCCTGGGTAGCTCAGTTGGTTGAGCATCCGACTTTGGCACAGGTCATGATCTCACCGTTTTGAGTTTGAGCCCTGCGTCGGGCTGTGTGCTGACAGCTCAGAGCCTGGAGCCTGCTTCAAATTCTGTGTCTCCCTCTCTCTCTGCTCCTCCCCCAACTTGTGCTCTGACTCTCTCTCAAAAATAGATAAAATGTAAATAAATAAATAAAAAGGAAAAGAGCATTCATTTTGAATCTCAGAATTATTCCCAGGATTCAAATATATATATATCTACATATATTTTTTTAAATTTTCACTTATTTATTTTTTGAGAATGAGAGAAAGAGAGTACAAGTATGGGGGAGGGCCAGAGAGAGAGGAGAGAGAATCCCAAGCAGACTCTCTTCTATCAGCGCATAGCCTGACATGGGGCTTGATCTTACAAACTATGAGATCGTGACCTAAGCCAAAATCAGGAGTCAGACACTTAACTGACTGAGCCATCCAGGCACCCCCAAACATATTTTAAAACACTTTCAGTAACCCTGAGACATAAAAATGCATAAATGGGAAATTGTTTTGTAGAAGGCATGACTATAAAAATGTCATTTTATGTGGCTGTGATGCCTCTCTGTGAAATACAGAGCATGAAAATTCCCAGGAATAGAAGGAAGATGCAAACCCTAGAGAGTCCTGGAGAAATGAGGTGTGTGGGGGAAGAGGCTTGAATAGACTCATAAGTTGGAGAACTAGAAGCAGAGCCTGTGTTTCCTAGTCTCCATTCCTAGGCTCTGTCTGCTTTCTCCTTATTAACTATTATACCATAAAACTGCCTGGCCTCAAGAATGAAAAACAGATTCTGTAACAACACTAAGTAGAATATCAACCATAGGACTCAACTGTACCATCCTTGGCATGTAAACCTTAGCCATTTTACCAAGTGTGGACAAGGCTCCAGGACCAGAGGACCACTGAAAGCCTCGTAGGGTAGATACTGTATCTAATATGCACATCATCAGCCTCAGTTTTCCTAAAGGAAGGCTGTCGATGGTGGTAGGTGTGTTCTTATGGGTTCTCTGAGGTGGTGGCTCACGTGTGTCATATCAGATAGCAGAAATTTGGCTTTCTCTTTACTCCTTGGTTTTCTGCTCTACCTTGTAAGCATTCCATACAGCCCCAGGTTAGTCATACTTCAATGTAAATGCAGGAGTCACCACTTTCTCCTAGTGGATCTTTTGGACTCCAGTCTCAGCCCTTAGCCCCATATTTATTCTCTTGGTTTATTTATACCCTTCTTGATTAGTCATGCCACTCCCTTTGCCTAGAACTCTTGAGGGAATCTCCATCATCTACAAGATAAAGGATAAACTCCTTACGTGGCTTACAGGGCCCTTCATTTTGTGGCTTTTATCTTCCTTTCCAGTCTAATTGCTACATTACTTCCACCTTCCAAAATTTATGTTCCAGAAATAATGATTGACTTGTTTCCTAAACATACCATACTGTATCACACTGCTGCATGAACTGTTTCCTCAACGCCTCATCTTCCACCTGGTAAACTTCTGTTTGTTCTTCAAAACCCCTTTCATGATCAGGGGTTGTTTTATATGCACTGGTATAGCTTCTCTGATAAGGTGATACTTGAACTGAGATCTGAAGAAACTAAGGAAGCAAGCCAAGCATATATCTGGCAGAAAGAAGAGCATTCCAGGCAGAAGAGATAAGTGCAAAGCCCTGAGGTGAGAACGTGCTTGGCATGATTAGGCAATAGCAAGCGGCCCTTTGTAGATGGGACAGAGCAAATGAGAAGGAGAGGTTGTGAGATGGGTGTTGTGGAGCAGATCCTGTAAGGCACGGTGGGCTGTAGTAAGAATTTTGAGATGGGAGGCCACTGGGAGAATTTGAACAGAGGGGTAACAGGATTTGGCTTGGGTTTTAAATGTGTCCCCCCAACTTTGGGGGAGTGAGGTGGGAAGAGCTATAGGGAGAAAGGTAGAAGCAGGAAATTCAGTTAGGAGTTAGACACAAGATGATGATGACTTGGACAAGGATTAAAGCAGTAGAGATGGGGAAAAATAATAGGAATCTGCATGTATTTTGAAGGCACAGCCATTGGGGTTGGCTCTTAGACTGGATGTGGGATGTATAGGAGGTGTCATGGAAAACTCCAGGGGGTTTGACCTAGGCACCTGGAACGATGAAGACACCAATTACTTATTAAGGGAAAGGTGAGAAGAAACAGGTTTGAGTGGGGAAATTAAGAGTTTGGTTTGGGGTATATTCAGGTCAAGATTCTTAACAGACATTAAGGGGCAAAGGCACCCAGGCAGCAGGGTCTGGAGTTCAGTAGAAAGATTGAGGCTAAAGATGTAGTTTTTATTTTTTTTTTTAATATTTTTTTTTCAACGTTTATTTATTTTTGGGACAGAGAGAGACAGAGCATGAACAGGGGAGGGGCAGAGAGAGAGGGAGACACAGAATCGGAAACAGGCTCCAGGCTCTGAGCCATCAGCCCAGAGCCTGACGCGGGGCTCGAACTCACGGACCGTGAGATCGTGACCTGGCTGAAGTCGGACGCTTAACCAACTGCGCCACCCAGGCGCCCCAAGATGTAGTTTTTAAATCATCAGATCCTAGATGATATTTAAGGTAATGACGTTGGATGAGGTCACCTGGGAAGTCTGGTATAAGTTCATGTGATTAAAATGCATTTCCCTTCTCAGCCTGCCGATCTGAGGTTTGGTCTGTGGTTTTTAAGGAATAGTTCTTCTAGTTATTTATTTGCATGGTCAGAAAAAACAAAGCAGATTTGAGCGGGGAGATCTGCATTATGCTTCCAGTATTTACACTTTACCCTGTGGAGGTAAGGAGCTCCTGCCGGCCTCAAAGAACCAAAGTAGGCCTAACCCATAGCTAGAGGAGCAGAAGTAGGAATTCTCTTTTCATCCTAGCAGCCTAGAGAAAAGCTCTGTATATTGAGTTCCCAATTCCAAAATAATTTACATTTAAATTTGAGGGGAGGGCTTGGGGACTCCCTTGTAAACTAGAACCTCCTGTAATACTTCTCAGTAAAATGAGACAAGATTGAAATGAATTTCTAGTTATGCTTTGGGAGCAGTCAAGGTTGTGTGTGTGTGTGTGTGTGTGTGTGTGTGTGTGTGTGTGTGTGTGTGTGTGTGATTAGACAAACAATAGGTTAACTGCTTGCCTGGCATTCTTCCTTTGTCCTGAGATTTATTTAGCTTTGGAAGATCCCCAGAACCATTTATGGACAAGGAAGAGGTTAGTCAGCCTAAAATGTCAGGAAAAACTTAATGTCTTATGATTGAGAATGCATATATAAACATGTTTTTGTAAACAATGGGACTCTGGCCCACTCTGTTAGTAAAAACATGATTTTAGCATGTGATTAATGGCCCCTTAACTGTCTATGTTCTTCGTGTATTCTTTCTGAAGTAGGTGTATCTTTACATTTGACTTTCTTTAGTGAGGAGTTGTTATAAACTGTACTATTTGTTTTGTTCCTGTGTAAGACCTGTTTTAAAGGCTCACATGTAGAGAGAGAAGGGGGAGCTTTTCTCCCTTGGTAGCAGTGTGAGAATTCCTATATGTCCTGTGGGACAAGATGGGACTTCTTTCAGCCCTCCCATTCTCTTGGGTCAGAGTTTCACCCTCCGAGTGTTGGTCCAACTTTTTCTAGTTGTTTCTCTCAGATTTTTCCTGTTTTCTGTTTCACTCCATCATCCCCTGAAACTCCCTGTCATTGACCTATAAAGCCAGGCGCCTCCACCCTCTCTCAGCTCTGACCTTGCCCCTCCCCCATACCTGTCCAGCTTGGAGTGTACAACTTCGTGAAGGTGCTGTCTAGTAATGTATTTCCCCTTAGTCATTGCTGGGTCATGCTTTGTGGCCGTGCATAGACTTGCTTTAATTTTCCCTGGCTAAGTTAGTTCTTATCCTTTAATTGTTGTTTGTTTTTCTCTGGAATGTCTCACTGAGCTCCATAAACCTAATTACCAAATATCGGTGTCATCTTTTTCCCACTCTGGGGGGTATTGTCTCCCCCCAGCACCCCTCCCTATCACCCCTAGTTCATGTCATGGTTGATTCAGTGTTCATTTTATTGTCAGGTTAGACAATAACCATATTATTGGCTTTGTTTTTAGTTCTCTCATTCTTGTTCTAACCTTAGAGCTTATACATACTTCATACTCTTTTTTTCCTGGGTATTTTTCTTAACAGAATCTTAACTTTATTCTTGTCCTCCCAAATTTCCTACCTCTTTTAACCTATTTAAATGATAATTAGCCACTAAATGTGTAGGGGTTGTTTTGAAGTTAAATTTCAGACCTGTCTCCCATGCTTTAATGTTTTTACTGTTTATGAGTTAAAAAAAAACAAAACACAAGTTGAATCAGGTTTGGTTGCCACTGAGACTTCTAGGAAAAAATGTAAATGTGTAAGGAAGCACCTATAAAATGATTCATAAGATTGAATTTCCCATTGTGAATTGATGCTGTACCATTGCCTCAGGCTTAGGTAACTAACTAAAAGTATTATCTTTTGGATGTGACATCAGCTGTCATTTTCCACATATGCAGATATTTTAGGTATGTTGGGCAAGTAGTGTTTCCCCCGAGTCCACTTGGAGTCCTCCTTTTCATTTAACTCTGTCTTCTCTTCCTTATTCTCTCTGAAAGTTTAAAGTAGATTTTCTAGAATTTTGCATATCCTATTGAATCTCTAAAATATCCTGTGATCAGGTTTGCTATGCTCCTTCCTTTACAAATGGCAAGCATTGTGCACTTTGAAATCCTAGGTCTGTGGACACTATGGATTAACAGTAAGTTTTCACACTGATTTTTTTTTTTTCTTCGGCACACAGTTTGTAGTTTCTCCCCAAGGATTCTTAATGCTAAAAATTACGGGATTATACCTTATGTAAAACCCAGACAAAAGGAGCAGCATAAGAAAGAGCCACAGGAGGTTTTATTATTATAAGCGAGAGCTTTGAAAATGCCAGTGCCTTTTGTCTATCTTCACTCAAAGTCTTAATTCTGCAGAGAATGGCAGAATTGCCTCGTATTTTAAATGAGAGAACAAATAAATTCATTTGGAGTGAATCACTCTTCAGTTTACATTTTTAGGCTTAATCTAGTGTTGATCAATCCCCTTAGAGATTAGTCTAGTATTCATTGACTAGTATTTGTGGAATTCTACTTGGCAGTGATGGATGGTATCTGTTCTACAGTAAGACTAGATAGGGAGTTTTTTTTGTTTGTTTTTTTAAATAGGCTCCATACCCAGCGTGGGGCTTGAACGCATGACCCTGGGATCAAGAGTCAGATGTTCTACCCATTGAGCCAGCCAGGTGCCCCTAGATACGGAGATTTTTTTACATAATACACATGAAATAATTGGTTACCCATGGAAAATAGTAAATAAGTGGGAACTTGGACCAGGATAGGCAATGCAAGGTATTCTTAATAATGCAAGTTGTGGAAGCAGACTGTTAAGACTGTGAGCTCAGGCTAGTCTCTTCCTGATTTATAAGATGAAGGAAATATACAGGTTTTTGTGAAAATTGAGTGAAATATGTATGCACCCTAGTGCCAGATATGTTGTAAGTGCTGAACAGATTTTAGCCATTATTATGTCTACTTGGAATCCATGAGAAATAGGAAAAAGGGACATTGTTACAGGCAAGAGAAATCAGGGAGGCCAGGATGCCTGGCTGACTTATTTAGTAGAGCATGCGATTCTTGATCTCAGGGTTGTGAGTTCAAGCCCCACATTGGGCATGGAGCCTACTTTTAAAAAAAAGGAAAGAAAGAAAGAAATCAGGCCTTCCTGACAGTGGGAAACTTGAACTGAACCTATAAAGGACCAATTCAGAAGTGAGGGATTCCGGATCAGAAAAGCAACTTGAGCAAAAAGTGGTGCAAACAAACATAAGTGAGGAATGCTGAAGAGACCTGACAAAAGGGAAGGAGCGTGTTTATTTCAGAAAAGAATGGTGATGAAGTTGGCTCGGTATAGCAGGGTCTGACTATTGAGGGCAGTTTGGACTTGGTGTGTTATCACATAACTGGCACAGAGGTAGAGTGGCCTACAGTGGTATCCAAAGTAGACTGAAGAAGAGAGAGACTGAGCCCTAGAAAGCCTGCCGGTCTGACTGCCGCAGTGAGCCAGGCACAGGTGGTGAGGGCCATTGCATGATAGGGACAGTGAACTCTAAAAAGGATTAGTTCATTTCTCAAGAAGCAGGGGCTAGATTTGGTGACTTGCTTCTATATAGATGAGGGCACATGGGAGAGACTAAGGATAATTTGGAACTGGCTTTCTTTCAGGATGCCACCTGTATTCGATAGTAGCCTTAGGGCTAAGAATTTAGGAGTCTGTTAATTGTAGGGTTACTCATAGGATAGAGGAGAGGGGAGTACATTTTGTTGTCATTTGTGTTTGTTGTTTAGCAAACTAAAAGTAGCTGTCAGGGATCCCTTTTTTTAAACATTTCTTTGCTGAATTCAAGGGACAGGAAATAGGAGCTAGAGAATGCCAGGAAATCCATGCCTGTCTTTCTTACCATGGTAAGCTTAGTGTTAAAAAGAAGGCTTTCAGGAGCATCTGGCTGGCTTAGTCGGAAGAGCATGGGACTCTTGATCTCAGGGTTGTGAGTTTGAGCCCCACGTTGGGGTTAGAGATTACTTAAATAAAAACTATAAAAAAGGGGGGCAGGGGTGGGCCAGAGAGAGAAGGCTTTCATATCCCTCACCTCCCAGGCCTACCACTTACTTAGGCTATGTGATCTTGGATAAATTCTGTAATTCCTATGTGCCTCAGTTTCTTCATCTATAAAATGGGAGTCTTAGTAGTACCTAAGTCATAGTGATTATGGGATTTAAATGAGTTAACACACATAAAGCACCTAGAACAGTGACTGGCAAATGGTAAGCACTAAGGGTTAACTATTAATAGTATCTCTGTTCCCTTTTTTTAAATGTGAAAACCCTGAAAAAAAAGCTAGAGTGTATCTATTTTGCCCCGGGCAAGTGAAGGGATGGCTTGGTTTTATGAGTGGATATTGGCTCATCTTACTATCATAGAAAAAAATCTGGCATCAAACTATTGCAGATGACGAGCGACTGGGTTGCTCTCAGAATCCATGGTTTTTCTGTGAGAATGCCTCAGTCTTTGCTGTATTTTTGTCCTGCCTGTGCAGGTGATTTTTTATGATAGTGACTGGAACCCCACTGTGGACCAACAGGCCATGGACAGGGCCCACCGCTTGGGGCAGACAAAACAGGTTACTGTGTACCGGCTCATCTGTAAAGGCACCATTGAAGAACGCATTCTACAGCGAGCCAAGGAGAAGAGTGAGGTAAGCACAAGGTAGAGGGAGTACTGTACTGGTGAAGAAATTGGAAAGTCCAGCCACATTTACCGGGCTAAGATGCTTGCCTTTCGTTCATCACGAAGGGGCGAAAATTTCTTCTGAATAGAAAATAAAATCAGGGCCGGTACTGCTGGCTATTCATTCCTCATTCCTTTCCTATCTAAATGGCTTCTACAGCCTAGATAGGGCTATTGTTCATGTGGCAGCGACATCAGTCATAGCCCTTGTGTTTCACATACTTTCACATTCAGGGGAAGAAGGAGCTCTCATCATAGGACTCCTGATTTGACAGCCTCTAATTTGTATGCCAGATTTGTTAGTTTCCAAAGAAATGATTATTTGGGGTTTGTGTATTTTTTTTTTTAATCTTGATTTCAATATTGGATCTTCTAGCTCTCAATTAGCAGTCCCAAGCAAAAGAAGTTCTCATTGTTCTTTGTGTTGGACAAATAATCTGGATGATCCAGTGAGATGAATGAGAGGAAATGGGGAATCTAAGTGCCAGAGGAGCAGATTGAGAAAGATGTTGCCTTCTTTCTGAATATTTGCCATAAGGGAGTGGGTGCCTGGTAGTGATGTTTCGATCTGCTTTGGTATAGATTCAGCGGATGGTGATTTCTGGTGGGAACTTCAAACCAGATACCTTGAAACCCAAAGAGGTGGTTAGTCTTCTTCTAGATGATGAAGAACTGGAGAAGAAATGTACGTACTCTAAACTAAAGCTCTTTCCTCCCTGCAAAAGATGTTTGTCTATACCCACATATCTGAAAATGGTAGAGGCCCTTGGCTATGCGCCATGGGTAAGCAAAGCCAAAGACTGTATTTGGGGAGAAACATTTTTTATGTTAATAACTTGTATTAAAACCCAAACAAGAATGTGTTATGGAGTAGAAGGCAAAATTTGCATGTATTTTAAAAGTAATATGACTTTGAATTCATTTACATCAGGGAAGCTGTATCCCTAGACTCCTCAGCAGTGACGAATTTACTCTGTTCTGCCCAGAGAAATGTTTTTGTTTTTGTTTGATGTCTGAAAGAGAATTTATTTCTTCATATTATTTTTGATTTAAATTCAACTTAGTTAACATATGGTATACTGTTGGTTTCAGGAGTAGAATTTAATGATTCATCACTTACATATAACAGTGCTCATCCCAAAAAATTCCCTCCTTAATGGCCATCACCCATTTAGCCCATCCCCCCCACCTCCACTCCTACAATCCTCAGATTTCAGTCTGTGTTTAAGAAACCCTATGTTTTCGGGGCGCCTGGGTGGCTCAGTCGGTTAAGCGTCCGACTTCGGCTCAGGTCATGATCTCGCGGTCTGCGTGTTCGAGCCCCGCGTCGGGCTCTGGGCTGATGGCTCAGAGCCTGGAGCCTGCTTCCGATTCTGTGTCTCCCTCTCTCTCTGCCCCTCCCCCGTTCATGCTGTGTCTCTCTCTGTCTCAAAAATAAATAAACGTTAAAAAAAAAAATTAAAAAAAAAAAAGAAACCCTATGTTTTCCCTCCCTTTTGGTTTTTACCTTATTTTTTCTTCCTTCCCATATGTTCATCTGTTTTGTTTCTTAATTCAACATGAGTGAAATCATGATACTTGTTTTTCTGACTGACTTATTTTACATAACAAAATACACTCTACTTACATTCACATGGTTGCCAGTGGCAATATTTCATTCTTTTTCATCGCCAAGTAATATTCCATTGTGTGTATACCATATATAGGTATACCTGTATACATACATACAGGCTTTTTCCATAATTCGGCTATTACTGATAGAGCTGTTATGAACATTGGGGTGCATGTGCCCCTTCAAATCAGCATTTTGGTATCCTTTGAACAAATAACTAATAGTGCAATTACTGAGTCACAGGGTAGTTCTATTTAAAATTTTTTTTTTAATTTTTTTTTTTTTTAATTTTTTTTTCAACGTTTATTTATTTTTGGGACAGAGAGAGCAGGAACAGTTACTGAGAGGGAGGGCAAGAGAGAGGGAGACAGAATCGGAAACAGGCTCAGTTCTGAGCTCATCAGCCTTAGAGCCTGACCGCTGGCGGCTGAACTCACTGGACCGCCATGAAGATCGGACCTGGCTGGTCGGACGCTTAACCCATCATGCACCAGGCGCCTTTTTTTAATTTACATCCAAATTAGTTAGCATATACCAAAGAAATGTTTTCATGGAGAAGTTTGAGAACCATACTTCTATAACACTTCTTCCATGTATCTCTGGCTTTGGAGAACAATTGGTTTCAGAATTACCTTATGAGCCCCTGAGTATTTCATAGCATCATACAAGAAAGCATGATGAGGTTCCTTTCTTACAGTGCTCACATTTACCACCACCTTCTAAAAACCTTTCAGTACTCTCCAGCCATACTTGATCTGTACAGTGCAGAGATCTTAAAAGGCTGAAAAGAAAAAGAAGAAAGGCAAGGAAAGGCCCACAACATTGAAACCAAATAGTAGTTGGAACCCAAAAAACTGTTAAGAATCCAAGAACTCTGTTCCTTCTCCAAGTTAAAAAAAAACACCAGTTATCTGTCTTAGAAGTCATACCCTGGAACACAAATATCAGAGGGTATGGCCACCTTAATTTCAGAGAATGAGGATTACAGTTAACACAGGTACTTCATCAGATCTTTACAATTTTCTTGATAGTGAGGCTGCGGCAAGAAGAGAAACGGCAGCAGGAGGAAACCAACCGAGTCAAAGAGCGCAAGCGCAAGCGGGAAAAGTATGCAGAGAAGGTATCTCAAGTTTGAGGTGGCCAACAGGGACCGGTGTGGGGCAGAGTGGTGCTTACAAAAAGGCTTTGGGTACATGGCTTGTCATCTTGGTTACTAGTTGGTATCCAGCTCCAGCAGCTATATGGGATAAGTAACAACAGTTCTATGCTGATTGACATTTGATCCACAGAAATGAAGCCTTGTTAGACCAGTACCCCCTACACAGACCTGCTGTCTCTGTGGTCATATGTAATTATGGAAATCATTTGTTGAGACTGTTACAGAGCAGAAGGCTAAATGTGGGTAAGATGGATCGATCTTACATTATCAGATTCCATAGAATCTTAGGGCCTAAGATGTCATTATGTCCAATCCTACCATAATTCTGCTAGTGTTCCATTCAATGTCATCTACTGTTAGCAAAATAAATCACTGCCCGGTCTGTTCATCTCTTTTTGTCCAATTTATGCCAAAAATTCAGGCTGTGTTTTGTCTCCCTTTTGACATTTCCCACTTGAGCCCACTAGGCTAGCTGCTAACTGGGATGTAGTTCCCCTACATTTCTCCCAATCTTGCTGTTTCTACCAGAATATTATTTCAGTGATCTTTTTTTTCTTAATATTTTATTTATTTTTTGAGAGAGCATAAGTGGGGCAGGGGCAGAGAATATGAATTGGGCTCTGCACTAGCAGGCTAACAGCAGCAAGCTGTCTGTGGGGCTCAGACTCATGAACCATGAGATCATTACCTGAGCCAAAATCAGATGCTTAACCAACTGAGCCACCCAGGTGCCCCTGTTTCAGTGATCTTTATTCCTGGTCTTTATTGACAAGTAAATCGAAGTGAGGCCTTCAGGATTTATTCTAGTTGCAGGAGTCAGCCCATTGGTTCTGACTAGGTTCCCAGCGTTACACCAAGGATTGTTGGTTCGGAACCACTTTGCTACCTTCCAGAAAGTGCTTCCTAATTTTTTCTAGTGGGCCTGGCTTACCATTGGGTAAGCCCTTCATCAGCCCTTGTTGAGCCCCTTGTCTTGAGCAAGATAGCTGCCATGAGCTTCAGACATCTTGATAGCTCTGGGCCCTCAAGTCCAACAGTTGTCCATGCTTCATTTCCCTGAACTGTTTGGTTTGTCTGAAGCATATTGTCTGGCCACATGTTTAAATTCGTTCTGTCTTAAGTGGAGGTTGACTTCTTCCCCTTATCCAAGCTTGTATTGGGCCTTAGGTCCCTTTTCCTTCTTTTGTAAAATCTACACCCTCAGTTGTACCTTCTGCTAAGCAGAACTATTTTTTTTATTTAAAACAATTTTTTTAAGTTTATTCATTTTTGAGAGAGAGAGAGCATGAGCAGGGGAGGGGCAGAGAGAGAAAGGGAGACATAGAATCTGAGCTGTCAGCACAGAGCCTGATGCAGGGCTTGAACTCATGAACTGCAAGATCATGGCCTGAGCCAAAGTAGGACGCTTAACTGATTGAGCTACCCAGGCACCCCTAAGCAAAACTATTTCTAACCTGAAGGTTAGAAAGTACTTACTAAATATAGTATTCACTATATTTACAAAGTTGAAAAATCCAAGAACTATGTATGACTCCACTCTCAAATCTCTAACCCATTACTTACTACTGTTTAGAATTTAAATAGCTTTAACATTCAGAAACAACATCAAAGAAGAAAAGGTGGCTTTCTAATATAAGAGATTGTAGGGTTTTCTGAGTTTGCATCAGAAGCCATCCTCACTCTGAGCACAGAAGTTTCAGATAAACCCCCAGTGGTAGTATAAACTACGCAATGACATTAACCCTAATATAGATGTAGATACAAATGTAGTTAGATGCAGTGGGTGAATGTGATTCCAGAATTTTCCAAGCACATTCAATGATTTTAGGTCCCTAATCTGTAACAGCACCCTACTGAACTTGGTTCTAGAACTGCTTAAGGTAGCTCAGCCCATAAGCAATTACATGTAAACTGAGAAAATGACAAAAAAAAAAAAACAGTTTCTTGGATATGATAACTTTCATTCTCCTTATGCATATTTAAAAAGAAGGCAGAGTAAAAACAGATGTGCAGAAAATACACTAAAGGCACTGGCCTCCCTCTTGTAGGACTGAATCTGTTCAGCCCCTCTAAGTGCTACAGCTTGGACATGCCGGAAGCTGACCGTGGAGCTCACCCCCATGGGTGAGGCTTAGTGCGGCTCTGATTCAGTGTGACTGGCCTACTTCTCAACTCCGTATTATTGGGGTAGAATATACATAAACTCTTCTTGAGCTATTCTTTTCTCCTTCCATAGGAGTTTTTTCTTTCCTTAAAAGTATGCTAATTGAAAACAAAAAACAAAACCTGGAAGTTTACAGAGAGGTTTCTATCCTCACTTTCTTTTCCAACTCAGCTTTTCTTTTTGATGCCTGTCTTCATGCTTTTTCCATATTTCTTCATTTGTGTGTTCCCAGAAGAAAAAGGAAGATGAATTGGATGGGAAAAGGAGAAAAGAGGGTGTGAACCTAGTAATTCCATTTGTTCCCTCGGCTGATAACTCCAACCTTTCTGCTGACGGGGACGACTCCTTCATTAGTGTGGACTCGGCCATGCCCAGCCCTTTCAGTGAGGTGAGGCTCCTTTTAGATGCCTTCACAGCAGTAGAGACTGCATCCTGACATTGTAGCCTTTGCTTCTCCTGGAGTTCTCCTGCCTTGGGGAAGGGGGCTGCACATGGAATCCGTAAGGAGGAAAGGAAATGAGGACAAGCTGGCTTCTCTGGAGCCAAGGCAGGGGATTTCACCCTCTGGAGTGAAGCCAGGAAGGAGAGAAATAGCCTAAGAATCACATCCTCACGTGGGTACAAGGGCCATGGGCTGTGGGTACCAGGAATGGTGGTGATCTCGATCCTTCTTCCTCCAGATCTCCATCAGCAGTGAACTGCACACTGGCTCTATCCCCCCCGATGAGAGCAGCAGTGATATGCTGGTGATCGTGGATGACCCAGCCTCTTCAGCCCCCCAGTCTCGAGCCACCAACTCTCCCGCTTCCATAACGGGCTCCGTTTCAGACACCGTGAATGGTGAGTGATCCTGCTGTCTTATATAGCTTGGGCCTGGTCCTCTGCCTCAGGAGAAGCATTGGTTTGGTGCTGGCCAAAGTCCCAGTTCTGTCTGAGATCATGGCATTTTCTACTGTGTAAAGAAGAGTCAAGTGGAGTAAAAACAAAAACTTACAGGCTCATTCTTTCAGTAGCCCTGTCAACTGAAAGTGAGAAAGAACTTGATAAAGATTTCAGACTTGTTTGTTTTCTAGTCAGCCCTGTCTTTCATATTTCACCTTCATTTTTGTTAGTTTTTAATTAAAGTTTGCTTTTCTGGGCCTTTCCAGTGTTGGTTCTGTGGGGCCCAGTGTTGTTGCTGTTTCTCGAGGAGTTCTAGATTTAAATCTTAGGAGTAAAAGTTGACTCTCCAGGGCAGGAGCATGTTGAGGTGTGCACATGAATCACAGAGAGCACGCCCCTGAGGTTCATTTAGTAATGAACTAGTTTTAGCTGTTTAGAATTCTTACTAACTCTGTGACTCCTTGGCCCAGCCACTAAATGGGGACAGAGACCTCCCTGGAAGTCCTGAGATACCCTGAGAGCCAGCCCTCCCTGTTAGGGGAAAATTCTGTTAACATCACATGTTGACTTTTTTACCTCTTGGTCCATTTGTTCCCACAGGAATTTCCATTCAGGAAATGCCAGCCGCAGGACGTGGTCACTCAGCGCGAAGCCGAGGCCGCCCCAAAGGTTCAGGAAGCACAGCCAAAGGAGCAGGGAAAGGCCGGAGCCGGAAGTCCACTGCAGGCAGTGCTGCCGCTATGGCAGGAGCCAAAGCAGGGGCTGCGGCAGCGTCCGCAGCCGCCTATGCTGCATACGGGTACAACGTGTCTAAAGGTGCGGAGGCCTCAGGGGGCAAGGGTGAGCTGCAGGCTCCATTCTGGTGAGGGCCAGTCTGGAGGGTCTATTAAGCATTCTGCTGGGAGAGCAGGTAGGGCACTCCCAGGCCAGAAAGCTCCTTCCCAAAGGCCACCTTGGGTTCTGCTTCTGCACTGAGCAGTCCTGACTCTCCCCTTGCCCTTGTGACTTAGTACAGTTTCACCTTTGAAGTGGAAGTAACTATGAAAGGAGAGAGTTGTATTTCTGGACTATACTATTTTAAACCATCAGAATTCTTCCTGCTTTGAGAACTCATTTTTTTCCCCAAGACCAGCATTTCACGTTTCAGTAGTCCAGGCCAGCATAGTTAACATTTACCTAAGTATGTGTGCTCCATCACTCGTGCTTCGTGTGCATGGACCCCACTCTGGAGTCTACGGTAGAAGTGAGAAGGGAAGTTTTCCATGGAATACATTTAAACAGCAGTGCACAGCAGTATGCTTGTACTGAGTGACAAAAGAGGGGAGGCCTTCATTGTAGTTGTAGCCCGGAAAAAGGAGGAGCCATGGGCCTGAATATGAAGTTGCCAATCTGTAATTCAGAAAGAAGGATGACAAAGATTTGGGCCTATCAGGGGTCACAGAGCAGGTCAGTCAGGCTGTGCTTAAGAGGAGCAGTAGCAGTCAAGAGTGGAAAAACAGGGCAAGACCTGGTGGGGATGGGCTTATGAAGTGTGTGATGAGGGGCTCTGGAAAGAGTGAGAAAGAAAGTGGCTGTGGTGAGCATGACACGTGGAGGATGATTATAACTATAGCTGGTAGGACATCTATGACTGACTGCTTGACCTCTCTCCCCAGTCACAACCTAGGCTTCATGTTTAGCTGATAGTGTTGTTGTAGCAGGTACAGGCATTAGCTTATTAGTGAGTGTTAGCTGCCCTCCCCCACTTCTTCCTCCTGCAGGAATCTCTGCTTTCACGTATTTTCTTCATTCAACAAATATGAAGTATAATAGGCTGGTCCAGCATTTCTTAACCTTTTGCCAGCTCATCACATCCTTGAAAAACAAGTCATACTAGCAGCCAAGGCTGCCATGGCAGGCTGTCTCACCCACAGATGGGCAGAGCATAACACCCATCAGACTTTCTTCTGGAGACCTGGTCTGAGAAGAGGCAGGAGGGGTAAATGAGGCAGCAGGGGTAGAGTTCACAAGAAAAACAACAGTGCTTGGTAACTGGGAATGGACTGATTCACAGATCTCCTGCAGCTCCACTGTGGATAGGAAGAGACAGCCGTCTGCCCACCGAGTGCTTAATACGCTTTTTTAGGAAAGTAAAATCAGTCCACAAGAAACAATTGACACATATTAGACACTGTGTTATCAGGTGTAAGTAGATTTGGCTCATATGAAGGAAAAAGAGTTGTCACCCACGGAACCATCACTGAAGAGGAGCAGTTTCAACTGGGTCCTTGAAACTGCAGGTCTTGGGAGAGTAGAGGACATCTTGTGAAGTTAAGAAAGAAGTAGCTATTCACAAGCGGTGTCCCAAGAAGGAAGAAGGAATGTGTAAGAGAATACATTAGCACCTAGGAAGTTACATACCATCCTGTAGCCTTGGTTTGCCCGCATTGTGTAACGTGTGCTGTGTCCTTGAGCACCAAGGAGACATCTTGTCCTTGTGGATGAGATGATGTGGAGAAGGCTGGGTAGGTATCATTTTTCTCTTAAAAACACATCCCTCTTACTGAAAAGACAGTTGACAGGAATGCAAGTAAGAGGTTGTGCTAAGAAGAGGTTGGCAAGGAGTGGCAGGGAGAGGGGTCCTCCACAGCCTCACCTCCAGCCCAGACTAACCAAGGTCAGGCACCAGGGCAGCTCAGACAGGCCAGCTACCTATACACTACTTGTCTCTTTCTCCATTCCCACAGGAATCTCGGCCAGCAGTCCTCTGCAGACGTCCCTTGTTCGGCCTGCTGGCCTTGCTGACTTTGGACCTTCAAGCGCCTCTTCTCCCTTGAGTTCCCCTTTAAGCAAAGGAAATAATGTTCCCGGGACTCCCAAGAGCCTCCACTTGACCAGCAGCCTAGCCCCAGATTCCCTGGTCCGGAAACAGGGCAAAGGCACCAACCCCCCTGGAGGACGGTAACTACCTGAACCCTCTAGCTTCTTTCAACCAAACGAGGGGCTAGAGTCCTGGCCCGCAAGTGGTCTTTAGATGGCTTGCCCAGTGCAGCATCTTACATCCCAGGTCAGAGGGCAGAGATGACCAGTTGCAGCAAGGGAAGGACAGGCAGGTGCTTGGTGTGAGCACTTTTCTCACCTGTGTCTCAAGAGGAGTGCTATGGGGTGGCCTATAGGAAGAAGGCCCAAGGACAGAGATCGGCCCTGCAGCATCTCAAATGAACTTTACAGCCACGTCTTAAACCTCGCACTGGGGAAGAGCCTGACATAGATCCCCTTTAGATGCTCAGGCACACAGTCTCCATCCCCATTCACTCTTGGGCTCTGGCCATGTCCCTTGCAAAAGCTGTGCAAGTGCTGTGAAGAACCTTCCATAGTGGAGACCACTCTTAGGGCTGTGATTTCCTGTAGGGCTAAGAAGGGAGGAAATCCTGTATCTGGCATCCTCAGTCTTTGGGCAGCTCCCCATGTCTCCAGACCCCATTTGCCAGAGTGTCAGCACTGAAGAGAACATTGAGTGTAAGAAGGTAGTGGCTTGTGAGGGTGACAGAGGCTAGAGGAGGCATGCCGGAGGCACTTGTTTTCCCAGCATTTCCTCCCCTGTCCTGCATGGTTCACGCCAGAGAACCTTCAGGTCCCACCAGCAACCGTAGCAGCAGCTTCCACCCCAGGACTCCCAGAAGCCAGTAAAGAGACCAGGAGCCACCTCAATCAGCAGGACATCCTCACTGCCCCTCTTGCAACTCCCTTTGCCCTTCCTGAATGCACAGTCTCCCCACCCCTGCCCTTCAGCCCCCTGCTTGGCTGTATGCACTGTCTGTATTGCACTGAGAAAGGAAGGGACAGCAGGAGTGAGGTGGAGAGGATGGAGAAAGGGCAAAGCTCAGCACCAACCCTCCCGGCCCTAGCCCCACCCGCCTGAGCTTGCTTCCCCCCAGAGAGGCAAAGGGGTGGTGTTTGCATGGGAGGTGTTCCTGCCTGCCCCCAGCCTGATGTCCCTGGTGGAGCGGGTGCTTCCGGGAGGGCCAGCCTCTAATTTGCACACCTGAAAATCGCGGAATTGAGTTTAGACAGATTGATTTTTAAAACTTTTTTTTGGAGTAGGGTTGGTAGGGGAATCATTTAATTTAAATCATTGAGATTCCCCTGCCCAAACCCAGACTCTTGTGTACAGAAGCTATTTAGAGGGAATCAGAAAAATGCCAAGCCTTTTTTCTCTTTGAATGTGCTGTCTATTTTTATAACTGAACTTGTATATATGTACAAAGAGAGACACATCTTTCTTTTACTAACTGGAGAAAAAAAATCTTAAATAAAATGGAGTGAGATAATTTTATGTAAATCAGGATGTCTGTGGTCTTTGCAGCTGCCTTGGGGCACAGTAGGGTTCTTAGAGGAATGTGACTGGGTAAAGGGGACACAGAGCCCCAACATCCTTCCTGTGGTTGGAGAGGACAGGTCGTCATTGGGACAATTTAAAAAAAATTTTTTTTTTACACATATTTATTTTTGAGAAACAGAGCACAAGTGGGGGAGGGACAGAGAGAGAAGGAGACACAGAATCCGAAGCAGGCTCCAGGCTCTGAGCTGTCAGTACAGAGCCTGATGCGGGGCTCGAACCCACAAACCGCGAGATCATGACCTGAGCTGAAGTCGGACGCTCAACCGACTGAGCCACCCAGGTGCCCCATCACCAGTGGCATTTTTAATCAGGCTTAGGAATTTGCCTCCAGCCATCAGAGAGGAGGCTTGACCAGTGCCTGGCATGCTGAGGCCCTTGGAGGGTGAACTCATTATGACTCAGGACCTAGACTCTAAGACTCAGGTGTGGACAGCTTGGCCTGGTTCACCATCAGGTAGTTTCGTGGTGGCAATCTTAATACCGACAGGTTCTTGCTCCAAAAACCGCAAGTGAGAGATGATCCTGGCAGTGTGTAATGTGTAAAATATCCAGCTAATAGGAACAAGTTTATGGTCCCAATATCCAAAACTGTGGCATGTGTACAAAAATACGTATATAAACCCCAGAAACCAGCCCATTGGCAGTTCCAGTACACAATCTATAGATCTGTTAGCAGAAATACTAACAGACTGTGAATACTGACAAACTGTGAATGGAATTCCCATGTTCTCAGAGTTAGCCGTGTTTGTAAGAATCACGAAAGAAAATAGAGTGAAATATGTTTCAATGATTCCAAAGACATCCAGGCTTTGAAAACTTACTTCTCTCATCAGTTGGTAAAAGAGCAAGTTCCCAGCCTCGACTGGCAGTTGGTGTTTCTCTGACTGAGCTAAAACACTGATATGCTCTTGCATCACCTCTGAGCAGGGCTCGTGCTGTTCCCAAGTGTGCTGGCCGTGTGGCCTCCCGAGCCTTGGCTCACGCTGCACACCCTTGATCTCAGAGGGCTGGGTACTGAGCAGCTGCTGCTCACCCAGTTACAGGATCAGCCTTTTTGTTTTGTTGATCTCAAGTAGCACTGTTGTGTATGCTCCCTCTTGTTTTCCCTGCTGGTAACTTTGACCAATGCTTCACACAGAACAAACCAGCATCAGTTTCCCAATTAACCGGTGGTCTCTTGTTGTCACCGCTGTGGCTTCTGGTCAACAAGCCCACTAGGATGGTCCTCTCCAGTTCTCAGCAAGGCCCCCAATGACATTCCTGCTGGAGCCTTGCCAAGGTTGGCAGTGGCCACCTCTCTGGAGACATGACAACTCAGATTCTCTCACAGCTTCGTCCAGATGTGGTAGGCTAGTTGCCCTTGCCTGAAAAAACATGTAAGATTTGGATTAGAGACCTCTAATCTTCTCGATTCCCAAACATGCTGCCATACTCCCCTTTCACCCTTTTTAATCCAGTCCCTAAAGAAACACAGCTAACATTTCATAATGAGAAACACTCACAGCCCTAATGTTCCTCCTCACCTGTCTCTCCCTTCCCTGAGGATAGATGGATGAAACTGGAACCTAAAAAGTGAAGACTCCAAGCTCATTAACCAGTCCCCAAGTTATGACTCATGCTCTGTCTACCCACTTTCTGAAGACTTGTACATCTTCCATGTGAGATAGCCCAGCTCTCAGGAACCCAGGGAGCCAGTACCCTAAAATGGAAAAAGGCTGGGGGAGGGCTCTTGCCTGCTAAAAGAAACATCCCTCAGGAAGCCTAGAAGCCCAGGCCTTAGAGTGCAGATCTGGTGTGGATCACAGTGAGGGCTGTCTCTTTGGCCGAGGTCACTTTGCCACATGAGCCAGCTCTGAGGACCCCAGGTGAGTGAATTTTAAGATCGTGAGTCTGTATGAACAGCCCTGGAAATGGAGGGTGTGCAGTGGGCTTACTATCCCTGTTTCTGTGTGTAGGGACTTGTTGAGGCACCCAGGACTCTGGAGACATACCCAAGGCTTGTTTGTGTCTGTGGTCCTGAGGTTGGGCTGGGCAGGAGGCAGGGCAGTGCCGACTGAGCAGTGAGCGGGGTTCTTCACAGCCTTGCCCTGATGTCTGGCAGCATGTTCCATCAGAAAGCCATGCTGGCTTGCAAGTACAGTCCACATGCCCTCACCTGTGCCCCTTGCAGCAGACCATCTGTTATTAGAGATCTCTTTAGCTCCTGTCAATGCCAAAAGGGAGCTGAGGTGAGATAGTAGGTTTTAGCGGGTCTCAAAGTTTTAGAGATCCCCAGATGTGCCTCAAGGGCTGCTGTGAATGAGGAGTAAAGCAGCATGGCCACCCAAATTAACCAGTACAGTGTGGAGTTCAACTATTAGGGAAAGAAAAGGATTTGAAACCTGGATCATCCCTTAAGGCAGTTTTTCCTCAAACTTAATATGCATGAATCACTTTGGGATCTTGAAACGCAGATTGAGTTTTAGAAAGTCCAAGATGAGACCTACAGTCGACTGCATTTCTACTACATCCCAGGTGATGGCCATGCCGCCAGTCCTTGGACCACACCTGGAATAACGAGCCTTAGAGCACGTTCCACCTCTGCCAGTCCCAAGTAAGCCACCTCTGTGTGTTGCCACCCCAGCCAGGAAACCTTGAGAAGGAAATAACAGCTTTGTTTTTCTCTTACTCCGCCTCATCCACCTAATGACAGAAAATGAAATCCTAATATTTCTAGGAAAATTCAGTCTCATATGAGTTTTCTCCAGTGTTTTGTTTTTTTTAACTGTTAATTCATGATCTTCTCTAACACACTTCCCCTCTGGGTAGCACCTCTGTTAAACATGTTAGGTATGAGAGGTCTCATCTGCTGCTGTTCCTCTGTCTGGTGTGACTTCCAGCCAGAGGTAGCCTCTTTATTTAAAAAACAAAAATTTTTTGGGGAGCTTGGGTGGCGCAGTCGGTTAAGCGTCCGACTTCAGCCAGGTCATGATCTCACGGTCCGTGAGTTCGAGCCTCGCGTCAGGCTCTGGGCTGATGGCTCAGAGCCTGGAACCTGTTTCTGATTCTGTGTCTCCCTCTCTCTCTGCCCCTCCCCCGTTCATGCTCTGTCTCTCTCTGTCCCAAAAATAAATTTAAAAAGTTGAAAAAAAATTTTTTTAATATTTATTTTTGAGAGAGAGAGAGACAGAATGCGAGTAGGGGAGGGGCAGAGAGAGAGGGAGACAAAGAATCCGAAGCAGCCTCCAGACTCGAAGCTGTCAGCACAGAGCGCGAGGCAGGGCTCGAACCCACAAGCCGTGAGCTCATGACCTGAGCCGAAGTTGGTCGCTTAACCGACTGAACCACCCAGGCGCCCCAAGATGTAGCCTCTTTAGTTGCTGGCAGCTGCTGGAGTGTCTGTGATCCCTAGGCTCACTTTCTGCTGCCTTTCTTGTCATGGCCACCAGACTCCTCAGGGTCAGTTAGCTTTCTTAGCTCATTGCTAAACCCTTCTCAAGGATGTGGGGAAATTTGGCCGCTCCCCCAAGCTTCTTAGAGACCGGACCCCTGGCTTGTGGTGAAGCCGTGTGATTTGGGAGGCA